GACCAATAACAAAAATAATACAAAACACATTACTAACTAATTACATTGAAAGTATGTTTGAGACAATGTAATAACGTGCATAGTAGCCTGTATTTGCACTGCACTTCATTTTTACTGTTTTATTGTTTGTTTTGTTGTCTATTGGTGAAAATGCATTGAATTTACATAACTGCAGCTCATGGCTTTTGCTGCTAATGGCTCTATCTTCAGATGAGTCCACTCTTCACTAGTTGTTGCAGAGTTGATGTGCATAGGGCAGGCTGATCAGTCCCTTTTCTGCTTCTTTCCACCAACGGCTGGTACTTGCTTCCTCCTCCCTTGGGGCCGTCAGCTCCATCATGCTGATGCTTTTTTCATTTATGTGTATTTCATCCTCCAGCTGGCTCACCAGTGATCTAATCTAAGGACTTACTGTATATAATAATTGCTTACATTTATATAGCGCTTTTCTGGACACTCCACTCAAAGTGCTTCACAGGTAATGGGGATCTCCTCCACACCCACCAATGTGCAGCCCCACACACCAGCTATCAGTGGGGAGGAGAACAGAGTGATGAAGCAAGTTCAAAGATAGGGATTATTAGGAGGCCATGACTGGTAAAGGCCAGAGGGGAAATTGGCCAGGACGCCGGGGTTACACCCCTACTGTTTTCGAGAAACGATAAGAACCACGGAGAGTCAGGACCTCGGTTTTACGTCTCATCAGAAGAATGGCGCCTTTTTACAGTATAGTGTCCCCATCAGTATTATGGGGCATTTGGACCCACATTTCTCCAATTTCCCTCACGGGATCAATGAAGTATCTATTGATCTATAAACAGCAGGGTGAGTGCCCCCTGCTGGCCTCACTAACACCTCTTCCAGCAGCAGCCTTAGCTTTTCCCAGGAGTCTCCCACCCAGGTATTGACACCTGCTGAGCTCCAGTGTTCTGCCAGGTGTGAGTTGCGGGGTGAAATGCTGGCTTCCCGCAGTGTGTGCAGCTTGGATCTTCTCGTAGCCCCCAGGTAATGTGGTTTGTTGGACTTGGTAGGACATCATACACGCCGTGGAGCAGGAATCATATCCTGTTGGTCTTGACTGACCACATGTCAGCCCTCGTGATCTTCTTCCCTTTGATTCCTTCCCACAGTGTCCATCCCCCTTGTTGCCTCTACCCAACTGCTCATGCAAACCTTTCCTCTTCTGCCATGCCAGAACTTCAATATCATGTTCTGAACTCCAGGTCTCTTCTGTCCCTTGGTTTAGCATTCCCCCAGCTCTTCCTTTGGACACAGCCAATTTCTAGCTTTTCTGTGGCCACTGTCCGCACAATATCTTTGTGCCATAACCTGGACTCCACTTCTTTGACTGCCCCTGCGGCTGACCTTTTCTGCCTGTGCGAACCTTTTTCCGATGGTTCTTATTGTGTCACCTTTACAGTCCTATTATTCTTACAAGTCCTTACTGATCCTCACTAATTACATCCTTACTCATGACCCGATTCATTGCCCAAATGAACCAATAAGCTCCTGCACTACAACAGTGCAAATATTCAGAGGAGATACAGTGTTGAAGGGCACACGGAAACCTGCTGTGCGATGGCCTTTAAAGACCAGAGCTGGCCACCCAAGCCGTAAATTAAAAAGAGACACCATGCAGTGAATGCAAGACTGTTTGAAGAGCATCTTAATAAGGCTCATGGAATATTAAGGTAATAATCGGACACATAAGAAGTACGGAATGTCCTCCTCTCGTTTTCTGGAGGTCTTGAGGCACCCAGTTGGGAAAATAGGTGATCTTCCCAGCTATAGTCTAGAAGAGTTTACTCACATATAAAGTATCACATGGTACCATTAGCTAAATAAAATAATTCCACTTACTAACATGAAAGGGGGGTACATCCCCTGTAGCAAAATGGTACTTCTAACAAAACACCAACACTATCTTAATCAGCTATATTCTCTTTATAGAAGCATCTGTTACTTTAATAGTAGAGGTTGTGATAAACCATAAATGATTATTACATCTGTTGTTGTTTCTTCCTTATTTGAACAACTGCATACATATACAGTAGTATTATTTCCGAGAGAGATTGTGTGGCTGTTTTTGCACAGAATTATGCAGTCATTGTGAACTGCCAGGCAGCAGTTTGTTACTGTAGTGCTAGTTACTATACATGTTTTGTCACTGTTGATTTAAACTTCGTAAACAGAATAAGAGTGCTACATGTGCATTAGTACAGAATGTCAGCTGGTCCCCAATAAGAGAGAAATGTCATTGAAGTTAAAAAAAACCCAAGCAAGGCATTGACTGAACCTGAAGACTGATCACATTTGGGCTAAATCAAATGTCTTACAGTTTATATATCAAAATACCTTTTTACTCATAGTATACACATGCATATTTAAAAACTACTTCTGTGTTTATTCAGTAAATGCTTAAAACTGGTATGAAATACTACTGGTGTCACCAGCTGTATAGGGCTGGAAAAATAACAACTGTAAATAGAATAAAAATGTACGTACAATATTTTTCAACTGACGTCTTGGGAAATGTAGTCCTCGCTTTTGGGTATGACTTGGGTGTACCTGTTTCATGTTTGAACAGAAAGCTAGACTGAATCATCCTAGACATTTTAAATAAAAAACATAATCCACTTTCACAGTTTAATCTTATTTTTTGATGCACAACTATATGTGATTTAAAGCGAGATTTTTTTCCCCATATTATTGCACATGTGCTGAGAAAACAGAAAGCTCTTCTGGTCTTCAGAGAGTCCCGGTATGAAATATGCTGAGGCTGGTGTTCACAGAATTTCAATACCATTTACTGATTTTTGTTACCTAGTAAAAATCATGTCTAGTAATGTTAAGCCAGTAGTATTTACCAAAATTAAAACATATACTGTAGCTCATAAGATACTGAATAAATGACTACATTTAACAGCTGTCTTTATTTCATTTTTCAGCTTTTCTTTTGTATTTTATTTTTTTTAGAAGAAATCTTGATCGGATTGTTCTAAAATCAGTGTTTACAGAATTTTACATTGTATTTTATGTCAAGTAAACTAACACGATCAAGATTCAGATGTTTTCTTGAAGGAAAAATGATTATAATTCTGAAAAAAAGTCTGAAAAATGTGCTGGCATTACCATTCTTTTCACAAGAAGGCCCTGTTCCAGCTGTCTGTGATATTGGAAATCTAACTTAAAATGTATTTTACTGAATTTTGAATCATTTGGACAGAAGACT